GAAAATGACATTGGAGAGCTAGACCTTCTTGAAGAAGGACTCAGATAGTTGTACTGTTTAGCAGCTGAATAAGTAAAAGACCTGTAGCCAGACTTTGAAAATGTTTTGCTCAAAATGCTAGACACTTGAATACCCCTTTCGACAAGGCGTGAACGGTTAATGAGGTAAACAAGGAGCGTGATTTCACTCAGTTCTCAATAGTTATCTGGCCGACAGCTGTTGTTGAAGTCGGCTATCGATATAGCTGCGAAGATAATGCCCACTATTGAAAATATGAATGTGAAAGCCAGAATGACCAGTGTTGCTAGATTAGGTCCTCTCTCAAGCGCACAGCAATAATAAAACATATGGCAAGCGAACATGACGAACGGAAAGATCGAGAAGACATCAAACACTAGAACCAGGGCCTTGATATTATCCTTTAACGCGCAGTTACCGAAGTAAAACTTTGCAATCGTTGACTGAGGGAGGGCTTCAAGCCAAACTTTCGCCAGACTCATCCAAAGATTAATGGCGGCGTGAGTTTCGTCTTGGCTGTCATCTCCTTTGCAATAGAAATGAATTCTCCATAGGTAAAGTCCTCCACGTAAAATGGTGATGATTAATCCAATGATAAAGAAACCCATCAGGGCTGTGTAAACATTGTATTGAGGATCATTAGATATATTTCCGTCTTCATAGTTAGTCACGACGAAAAAGTCCACAAACTTGTCGGCAATTTCGTGTAATATCAGATAGCCGTGTACCAGGATACAGTTATGATTGTTATTTTCCATTGCATGCACATTGAGTTTCCTCGCTGCTCATACGAATAGAAGACGTCGTTCCTACTTCTCGATAGAGGAATTGTCACTTGACATTGTGTAGGAGTGGCCTGAATATCATTTCGATAAAAGCGCAATTGCAATTGGCTATGCCAACGAGTTGTCATGTTTTCAAAGATCTTAGTTAAAAAAATGTTGGCAGGTCATTCCCAACTACAAAGGGCACACTAGCATAGTAAACATTACAAATTTCGTAGAAAGTGATCGCTTACATGGAGTTTCTACCTTGCAATATACGAACAGAACACCCCGTTGCTTCTTCTCGATTGAGGAATTGTCATGTGACACAGTTTAGTAGTGGTATTAATATCATTGTAACCGGCATCAGCAACCAAATATTGGCAATCGTTACTAATTGCAAAGATTGATCAAGAGTAGCAAACGTAATTACAGTTTCTCAGAAACTGCACTCAAAGTGAAATTCAATTCCGGGTAACATTCCAGAAGCGACTTGAAGCTCGAAACGTTGTTTTGATGACAAAGTAGGGTCTTTTAGGCTAAACCGCCGCCATCAGTTAAAGAAATGGCTACTGCCTTATTTCCCTGTGCTGTATATTTGAACTAAAATGAGGCATGACATTTCCCGGAATTGAAAGAGCTAGGTAAAGAAAGATGTGGGCGACGCATTGACAAGCACCGAAGATATACCTTGCATAATAATCGTCATAGTGTCTGAGAAATCGGGCTTAAGTATATACAACAAAGTTTACCTGCAAGAAATACAGCAACCGAAAAATGTATGTACCACGCGCGTTAAACGTCCTTTAAATTTGCTCTCCTCAATGTTAAACAGTGAATTTCAGCCATTCCCAAAGTATTTTTGAAATTTGACAAGATGCATGTCAAGATATAGCACCATTTTTTAACTGTCAAATAGTGACCTACAGTAGTAAACATAACTACAGTTTCCTAGAAACTGGACTCAAACTGAAAATCAATTCCGGGTAATATTTCCAGACGGGACTTCAAGCTCACCGACATGTGACGTTGTTTTAGTGAGAAAGTAAGGTCTTTGAGGGACTTTTAGCCTAAGCCATCGATTAAAGATATCGCTACTGCCTTATTTCTCTTCGCCAGAAACGGTTTTTTTTTTTCTTTGAACCGAAATAGTGCATTGAATGAGTTCGGGTAAAGAATTGAATGAGCTCGGGTAAAGAAATATGTTGGGGTCGCATTGACAACTGTCGAAGATTGACCTTGCATAATAATTATCACAGTTTCTGAGAAATCGCGATCTTGAGTATACAGAAATACAACAACCAAAAGCACTCTATCCTGCGTGCTGGTGCAGTTCCTGAATCCGTTAAATTTTCTTTTCTCAGTGATAAACACAGGGGCGGATCGAGAGGTAGGGTAGGGGACTGCGCCCGTTCCCCCCCTTTCCCCCCCCCCCCTTTGAGATGAAGCCTTTTTCTTCGTATTCGCTTTCGCTTTTAAAATTTGTTTACCTCACTAGTTTTCGGTATAGTGTTTTTGAAATTTGATTCGATGTAGGGCATGATGGAGTAATCCCTTTTTTTCTATGTGGCTGTATTTGTGGAACACTGACTCTCGTTTTATAGCATTACTAGCACCATTAATCCGGTGTAAACAACAAAAGCAAACTGTATATTGAAAATTTAATTGATTGTCTTCTCTACTGTCCTCATCAGTCAATGTAATTCAGTATCAATGATACAACATCCAACAGTTATGCCAGCTATTGTTAGAAGTAAACGATTAAAGTAGAAATGCATAGGTTGTTTTGCTAGAAAGAGATGAAAAAACTACAAGAACACACACACTTTATTACCAAAGTATAAAACTCTTGGTTATAAAAAATAATTAAAACAGAAAATTAGGTAGATTCACCCAGAATAGCTAATCGAGCTGAGTGAAATTAAATAGTATTTATGTAAAGAAGTTGGTTGGCAGTAAAGCTTAAGGGATGGGGGCAGTAAGGAGACAAAATAAGGAGAAAAGAAGAAAAAAAAAACAGTAAGTAAGTGGAATAAATGAGTAAATCACGAAATACCTAGGAATAAAGTAATTAGTATTAAATAAGTCACTTGTAAGTTCCAGATGAAAACTCATGAATGTTGGTCATATGATTGTAAGATGTTAAGTTTAACTTTGTTTTTGAAAATTTTACGGGGATGGTGTATGTGATTTCCTATGATCCCTCGAATATATTACAACTTTATCAACATAAATGTATATTGTCATGAAGATGAAAATTGGGATTAAAAGCTGCGGTGTGAAACGGAGCAGAAAAATTTACGAATAAATTAATGAAATAAAAAAAAACCTTCGCTGATCTCCAGCCTTGATGTAAGCAATTACAACAGAAAATCACGCATGACAGTGGCAGCTGTTTATAGTTATCCCGCCTTATTCCATAAGGGTGTCCACAGTGCTGCTCTTACGGACTTCGTGTGTTGCCGTTTTCTCTGCTTTGTCCCAACTGTTATTTGCCATTGTTTCATTTCTTCCTTGGTTGACCTTCTGCAGGTTTTTAAGGCTTTCCCACCCTCCTTTGCCGTGTGGACTCCATCCCAAGGTCTGCTCGGTAGTATCAGTGTGACCTAACCAAACGTTCATAGTTATACTTTTAGTTTTCCAGTTATTTATTTAGCTAACACCGGTCGTTGAAGTCGTTTATGGATATACATGCGAAGACAAAACCAACCACTGAGAATATGAATGCGATAATCATGATCACCACCGTTATTCCATTAGTTTCTTCATAAGCACAGTAGTAGTAAATAGAATGGCAAACAAACATGATGAACGGAAATATCGAGAAGACATCAAAGGCTTGAACTAGGGTCTTAATGTTACCCGTTTGTGCACAGTTACCAAAGTAAAACTGTGCAATTGTCGTCTGAGGGAAAGCTTCAAACAGGGCTTTAGAGAAGCTTGTCCAAAGATTAATGGCGTCGCGAGTCTCGTCTTGGTCATCATCGTCTTCTGGGGACAGCTTGATTCTTCTTAAGTACAGTATTATACGTAGGCTTGTGATGAGAAATCCAGTGGCAAGGAACGTGACGAGGGCGTAATAAACACTGTCTTGAGGATTGTTAGATATCCTTCCTTCTTTGTACCTTATTGTGATGACCAAGTCGACAGCCTTGTCGGCGATTTCACATAATATCAAACAGCCATATGCCACTGCATAGACAAGTGTGGAGTCCATTCTGTTCGATTTTTCTACCAAGCAATATACGGACCCAAGAGAATCTTGACGGACCAGAATACTATGCTGCTCCTGCTTCTTCTCGACGGAGGAATTTGGATTTCAAATACAGTAATTTATACAGGCGTGGTCTGGATTACATTTCCAAATAAGTTTTTAAAAGAGCAAACGGGATTGGCTTGATTTTTAAGTGGCCTGTCGTACTTTGAGCTCTTTGGATTTAAGATGTTGGCAGGTCGATTGCAACTACCAAAACAGACCTAGACTTAATAAACATTACTCGACAGTTTACAAGAAATTCCCTTTGAATTGAAATTCAATTTGGATCAACGTTTTCAGACGAGACTTGAAGTCACCAGTGGCGGATCTAGGGGAGCCCCCCCCCCCCCNCCCCGCCTTATTTTGGGTAAAAAGAAAAAATCGCAGAAGGAAGAAAAGCCGGTAGGGCTAGCAAAACAAAACCGCCCCCCGCCTTAGCTCAAGGTCTGGATCCGATCCGCCACTGGACACATACTAATTTGTGTAGCCTTAATTAGGAACAAATTTCCTTATGGTTAAATCGCGAGTTAAGATTAATTGCTAGCACTTTGCAGATTTCCCTTTGCGACAAACGTTATTTTTCCTTTAAACAACAACTGATCAGTCCAAAATGGACCTAAGTATCAACGTAAGAAAATAAGGAACTCAGCACCACGTGATAACGCAGGAAGATTTTCCCGTAAAATAGACAAAGGAGCAATCTAGAAAAGTAAGCCAAAACGCTCCCTGCGTGTTCTTGGTTACTAATGTTTTTGGAATTTCACTCGATGGGCTTCAAAACTAGTTAGGACTATGGTGGCGTTACCACCCCGTTTTCTACAACCAATCAAAATCCAGCTTTTGTGGAGCAGTAAACCGCTTTTATATTACTACTAGCATCATAATCTGGTATTACCTATCACAACGACAAGCTCGAGAAAATCCACGGTGCAGCATTTACATTCAATTTTTGTTTATTTTAGGTATGCAGACATGCGCATGACTATTGGATTGAAGATCAGTCAGATGTGGCATTTGTTAGGTAACCACATCCGAAAGCGGTTTGTTATTCTCACACGCATTTATAATTCATCAAGTTTTAAACTAAGGAAATCATGACCGTGATGGTGTTTTGATATCTGTTTTTAATTAACATAGATCTTTACGATTTTGTTTTTCCGTTGTCTCCTTAGTTTTAGATTGAATTGAGAAGATATATCAAATACTTAAGACAGTATATGACCACATTTCCAAACACCTCAAAGTTCGTCAAAAATTAAATTAAATTAAATTAACCTTTATTTACCTTCGGCAATGTTTATAGCACAAGTTCTAGTGGGGCCGAGCAAACAACTGAACAAAATTCAAATTTAACATAACATTGTTGAGAATCCCAACTGGCCGGAGGCAAACCAGTTGGCTATTTACAAGCGGGGCCGAGGATTTGAACTCGGGGCTACCGATAAACAAATTCAGGTAGTGGTCAGGGTGGGACTCGAACCCGGGACCGCTGGATTGCGAGTCCGACACGCTTACCACTCGGCCACGCTGCCTCCTGTCATATTATCAACTCCCTTCTCGACGTTTGGAAATGTGTTCAAACACGGTCTTTCGTGTTTGATGTAATACATCAAACACGAGAGACAGTGTTTCAACGGGTTATCCAAAATTCGAGGTGTATGGATAGCCGATGAAACACTGTCTCTAGTGTTTGATATATCTTCTCAATCGAAACAAATATTACGGAATAAACGGAGAAGTAAAATCGTCAAAAACTATGCGAATTAAGACCAAGTATCCAAACCTCCTTCAAGGTTGTGATTTTCTTTGTTTTAACTTGATGAATTGTTAATGAGTTTGAGAAATATTACAAAAAACACTGACGGTGGGGGGTGGGGTATAGTATCAACATCACTTCGGTGACACGTGTGCACGTAACGCGTGGGGGTTAGCGTACAGTGTTCGTAAACATGTCTGGCCATCTTTTGAATGGCATCTTTCTGAACTGAGGATTAAATTTTGCAAGAGCAAACAAACATGCCGGTTAATCAGCATGAGGCAATCTCATGCCATACGAAAGCTGTGAAAACTGAAGCACTTTTTACTAAAACTTGTATCAAAGTTTAGATTTTACAACGGGGGAAACAGATACGATAACGAAAGAGTTAGCAAATGCGTAAGTTAATCGTTGTTTATATCCTTCCTGTAGGTGATCACAAAATAGATTTCATTCCCAACTTAGTTGGACCTTTTCTGGAGATGACGTTGATTCCGCACAGCGGTAAGCTTTGAACTTCATTAAATTCTCAGTGGGGAGGAGTGGGAAGAACAAGAAATTTTTTTGTGAAATGCTTGAAAGTCACAAATTAAAGCGTTTACTCCTGTTGCGTCAGTCTCTATTACCACTTCGTGTAAGCGGGACAAACCGTACCTTCCCCAGTTTTGCTGTAAATGAGACTAAGTCAGTGTCGGTAAGTGCATAAAAGAACTTCCCCCTTGGCTAACAATAATATTTTGGCAATAAGTTGGCTCTTGTGGTCGTGGTGCTGTTGTTGGGGGATATAAATACCGTTTTCGGAAACTTTTTATCGAGGTGTCCGTCTTTAATATCGTTTATTTTCACATCAGAGAGCTAGAGCTGTTATTAACATATCCTTGGTGTTGAAACAGAGCTTCGTCGAGCTACAATACCCATTTTCTTTGACATGATCCAGTGCGAGTATGCCAGCAAAGGGAATTTTATATCGGTAAGTGTGAGTTAAAAAGGGTTATTTTGACGTTTGTTTTTTAGTTTGTGGTGAGTTTTGCTACACGTTATCCACGGGTAACGATGTTTTGTTTACGTTGTCTTCAATTTTCTAACACTTCTATCGTCTTGTACGACTGAAAGTGGCCACATCGGGCCAGTAACCTCAAAGTGAACTTGGTAAATAAACTACTGTCCCACATTTACCTTGGACACTGGTAATGCAGTTATTGTGTGTAGTGAAGTGTGTAGCCTGTCTCAGTTTGCATGTTTTGTTAATTATACATACCTCTTACTAACCGAGTTCGAGGTCCGTACTGTCAGTTACGTTGGGTTCCCCGTGCGGGACATCCAGGAGTTCGGAGCCCCGTGCCGACCATCGACAATTTTGGGAGGCGAGGTGGCCTCATGGTTAGTGCGCTCGTCTCCGGATCGAGCGGTCCGGGTTCGAGCCCTGGCCGGGGACATTGTGTTGTGTTCTTGGGCAGGACACTTTACTCTCACAGTGCCTCTCTCCACCCAGGTGTATAAATGGGTACCGGCGATCTTAATGCTGGGGGTAACCCTGCGATGGACTAGCATCCCATCCAGGGAGGAGTAGAAATACTCCTAGTCGCTTCATGCTACAGAAACCGGGATAAGCTCCGGCCTGGGACTTGGCTCGCATGCAGACTTTACCTTTACCTACTGTCAGTTACGGACCGAGTTTTTTCCCCTTCGATTTATGGCCCAAGCGCGAAGCGCGCGGGTCATAAATCGAAGGGGAAAATACGAGGATCCGTAACTTACAATACGGACCGAGAAGACGAGGTTAGTAAGGTATTTAATTTATTATATCTCTACTGTGTCCCTAACGGGTTCGGAAACGATTTGTATTCACGCGGACTCGGAAAGGCTTCAAATTTCTGACGCACCTCGAAAGAAAAGGAGTCAGTTTGAAACTGTTTTTAAGTCGTTAGCACGCTTTATTACATAATTTAGAGCAGAAGAAAGTTTTAAACTTTCACTTGCTATAAAAGTTAAGAACACGTAGCGATAAATCACGAAACAGTTTGGCTACAAAACCAACTTTAAATTTTAGCGGGCCGTACAGGAGAATACGGCCCGCTAAATTGACCAATCACAGCGCGCGTACTGAGAGATACAATAATGGATTTTATTTCCCCAACAGTTTGAAAGTGAAATGATCAGCAAACTGGATGTGCTTGTTGAGGGTGGGAAAGGAGACACACAGTACAAGGAACTGTTTTATGAGATGTAAGTTTCCCTATTGTGTAGATGATATCTGCAGTCTCTTATTGTTCGCACATGACTAGTAGGCCATTTCTGACTTACCCTGTGCCTCAAAACGAATCCTCGTACAAAAGCCTTCATATTAAAATGAGTTTCATTTGATTTGATTTGTGTTGTGTTTTCATACTCTTTTTGGTTTCCTAACGTTTCTACCACCTTTGACACAGTGCTAGACCAGTTTTCAGAAGTTGTCACACTAATACATATGATAGGTTTTTTCTAGTTTAGCTTAGTTTGTTATTGATTGTAAAGCCACACGTATGTTGTGACTGATTTCTTAATAAAGACTTCTACTACTACTACTACTACTAGACTTCTACTAATTCGTTTTGCTGTCTCTAGAACGCTCGTCTGGAACATGTATCAAGACAGTTTCTCAATCATTTTTTCCCCACTTTAGCTTGTCCGAGCTCTTCAACCCACTTCCGCCACAGCAGAAAGAGGATGGCATCAGGTTTGTTGGCCTGGTTACCAAACTCATGGAGAGACTGCTGGACTACAGAACCGTCGTACTGGGAGATGACAACATTGACAATCGAATGAGTTGCACTGTTAATGTCCTGGTAAGCTGCTCAGACAGCTGAATACAGTGTTATTTTCGGTTTTTCTGAACAACCTTCAGCTGCGGCTTAGTTTTCACAGCATACTCTGTGGGTTTATAACGTTAGGCCAATGTTTAGGTAGGAGTTTACGTCAGAAAAGCTCCTCTGGTCTTCTATGACCAGTCAAAACGGCAAGCTTTGGTTTCTGAACAGTGAGGCAACTTGCTAAAGGGGTTACGTTAGTAGGGAAACCCCTTGTCGGTGGAGAATGACTAAAAGGAAACAGAAAGAAAAAAAATGTGACTCACGACATTTCTTATTAAAACTTTCCTTTATCATTCTGAAAAGGGATCTTGACTCTTATCTCAACTTTCTTTACTGCATTCCGCCATACAGTCTTCACTGTGAATTTGTGAGTTTCTCTCTTTGTCGTCTTGCTAATGTGTTGTTGTGTAAGCCCAGCTGTTATAGACCAAAAAAGCACTGAATAGTTCAGTTTGATGACAAAAGCATGAAACTTTGCCAAATCATTGATGACCTCAAGACAAACATTTCCTGATATAGGGCCAATCCAAATTAACTTCTGGAGACGAGAACTGCGCATGTCCGAAGTTAGCCAACATCGAAACGAGACTGAAAATAAAAGTCCTACTTAAACTATCTTGTTTGGAGTGATATGTGACCAATGATTATCAACATGTACCACTGAATCATTCATTCACGGTTCTTTTGATTGATCACGAGGGTTGCTAAAGCTTTAGACCTGTGACAGTGTTAAAATATACTTTACTTTGTCGAAATACTCTGTTTTATTGCTACGTGTTTAGTGTAACCTCAAACGCAATTATCAACAGCTGTTTTATTTGTTTCTGATTGCAGAATTTCTACAAAGAGACATATAAGAAAGAAGAAATGTACGATCGGTGAGTTAAAAAGCTGTTCTGTTGTCTATAGTTCTATCTTGTCATGGGTCGTTTGCTTATTATGTCTTCAATGAAAAAGCATAAAGGTTAGTTACTGTCCCAAGATTTCGAAAAGGAAAGTCCCGTTTTACCTTCAGCTTTTTTCTCTTCCATTGGACTTGATTGCTCTATTTACATTTATATCTATATATCGTATCTCTATGGTCCTCTATGTCTACCAGTCTTAACTTTATTGCCATTATCGATGCTCACTTGCAATTAGACGTTACAGAGAGCGTACACTCAATCACTCACTGGGCGTATGCCTCGTACTTTCATTTTGTTCGTTGAGAAGGTTTAACGTCTCAGTGATCGGTGTACATCAGAACCGCATAATAAATATGTGATATTTCTTTTACTTTCTCCAGGTACGTGTACAAGTTGTGTGATCTTCACCTCAGTGTTGAGAACTACACTGAAGCCGCCTTCACGCTTCTTAGAAGAGCAGATGACCTCGAGGTAAGACTGAAATGATTAAAATTCACATAGCTCCTACCCTGGGTACCAGTGGCTTTTCCTGGCTATCGATGGTTAAATACAACATAGGAAAAGAAACTGAAGGCTAGCTAGTCAGTTGCTCATTCATATTCCGTGCCAAATCTGGACAAGATGATGGACGTGAAATGATGGACGTGAAACCTGGGATCTGGGAGTGTTGTAGTATGTTGTGCAGTTTCTCAGGCGGTGGTCTTGTTCTGACCCTCTCCCTGTTACACAACACCGGGAAGCACACGAGACCGCTTTCAAATGGCTTTATTACCCTAATGTGAAAATACTTGAAAATTTCTTTCAATTTTACACAACTGGGAACATAATCTAACGTGCATGAATATAGGTATTTTACTTGTTCTTTTTTGTTCCAGTGGACTGATGATCCAGTTTTTTCGAGTCAAGGGAAGTATCGCGCGACAACTCAGCGCCAGCTGAAAGAAATGCTCTACAACAACATTATTGACTACTTTGACAAAGGAAAGGTAAAAAAAAAACTATGGCTTTTATTCTGATCAATATTTTTATACGACAAGCATTTCAGCGTAGACTTTCATATCATAACAAACAGGGAAACAGAAGGCAATTGTGTCAGAATGATTGAAAACTTACCGCTGGATTTTTTCAGCCCATTACCCTGTCAGCCTCAATATCGTAAAAGCCAGATTTTAACCCACCCCTTCCCCAACCTACAAACTGCCCCACACCTGTTTTAGACTAGTCTGCTTACCAACAAAACCAAATCTGTACAATCATTCCTTAATAGTGGTCTTGTTAAATCATGTTGCTTGTTGTATCGACAGTGCTGGGAGTACGCCATTAAACTATGCAAAGGTCTTGCCGTGCAGTATGAGGAGCAGACATTTGATTTCATTCAGCTCAGTCAGATTTTGGTAAGATACACTAGCCTTATACCATGCTCTGATTTACGTGTTGTGTTACCAGTGCTTTACATGAAAGTGAACCATGAACCTCGTGGGTGACTGTAAACTCTCGCTAATTAGAATAAAGATGGAAATGCAACGTGTGTCCTTTCCATTGGATTCCTGTTTCGCGTCTAGTTGTGAATTTCTGTTTGAAAACTTCTCGCTCAATTTCTCATTGACAAACAGCTCATTAGCAAATCCTGGCAACGTCCAGCCTGGGATTTCTATTGCACTGCTTTCCCCACCCTCCCCGTCACGTGTTAAAAGGTTCACCCCCGAATAAGTTTCCTGACAGCCTCATTCTCCTTCATCCCCCTCCCCAGAGGATGACTAACGTGGGCAATCGATAATTTACCTTTGTGTTTCTTGCTATCGTGTTGCACACAGATCAAGCAAGCCAAATTCTATGACAACATCATCAAGGTTGTCCGCGGAGATCCTGAGTACTTCAAGGTTGCCTTTTATGGACTTGGCTTCCCGACATTCCTCAGGGTAAGTGTTTGAATGACCCTCTGCAAAAGTGTGGTACAGTGAAACCCCGAATTCTCAAGAACCTGTCAGGCTACGATGTACATAACAACCTGCTTTAGCCTAAAATTTTAAACTGTTTGTTATTTTATAGAATAGGCCCTTTGCACGATCCGGTCACATGGTACAAAATCACACATGCTGGTGAGCAAGTTGCACAGTGGGACTTCCAAAACAATGCAACTCGTACCAGTACACCTGGGCCTGCCTTTGTTTTGGAAGTCCCACTGCGCAACTTGCTCACCAGCATGTGTGATTTTGTGCCATTTGACCGGATCGTGCAAAGGGCCTATTCAAAATATTTTAGTTCTGTTTCATTGATGTTTCATCGGTACAAAAGTACTGAGAGGAATAAGATAACTTAAAATAGTATTGTGAAGTATATATGAAATAATTCATGTTTGAACTGCGGTTGTAGATGAAAGTGACGAATGATCATAGCAGTAAATTTTCCAGTTCAAGCAACTGGAAAGAAGAAGCCTGAAAAAATCAGGGCTTCCCGTTCTTCACTTTCTTAAAATAGTATTCTTTATTCCATCTCTCAGTTACTACGCGCGCTGTGATTGGTTAATTTAGTGGGCCGTACAGTAGAGTACGGCCCGCTAAATTAACCAACTTCAAGATGCTTTTGTTGCCAAAATGTTTCGTGATTTATCACCAGGTGTTCTTAACTTTTATAGCAAGTAAAAGTCTAAAACTTTCTTTTACTTTAAATTGTGTATTAAAACGTGCTAACGACTTAACAACGATTTCAAGTTGACTCGTTTTGCTTTCAACTTGCTTCAGAAACTTGAAGCCGTTCCGCGTGAATAGAAATCGTTCCCGAACCCGTCAGGGACACAGTAGAGATATAATAAATATCTTACTAACCTCGTCTTCTCGGTCCGTACTGTAAGTTACGAATCCTCGTTTTTCCCCGTCGATTTATGGCCCGCGCGCTTCGCGCTTGGGCCATAAATCGAAGGAGAAAAAACTCGGTCCGTAACGGACCTCGAACTCGGTTAGTAAGAGGTATATATCGTTCAGTGTTTAATTACGTGAAAAAGGCTACTGTGATTATCTGCTTTACAGCTCTGAGATGTTTTTGTATTGTTTTTTTGTGGGGGGGGGGGGGGGGGGGGGGGGGGGGGGGTGGGTTGCAAAGTATTTTTTATCATTAATAGGTAGTTTACTTGTCAATCTTCTGTCTTCAGAATAAAGTTTTCGTCTATCGTGGCAAGGAGTACGAGAAAATTGGCGATTTTGTTGTTCGTCTTCAAAGTCAATACCCTAGTGCTCAGGTATGGAGGCAAACACGTCACAGTTTTGTACAGAATATAGTGTCCACCGTTAAAGTCGTCGGCATCGCTTAAACTATTTTATTTGCTGTTAAATCATGTTGCTAGTAAATCGGGAAATCGAGAGTTTAGGGTTGTTCGACTGACTTTTTGGTTGATAGATAGGTTGAGGGACGGACGGACGGACGGACTGACTGACTGACTGACTGACTGATTGTTATTAATATATTCCTTTTTGTGTGTTTTTGCAGCTTCTCAAGCTGAAGGACGTCATTACCAATGAAATCAAGTTTTCTAACCAACAGTGTATCCTCGTGTTGAAAGTGAAGACCATCAAACTAGTTTAAATTCTTCTTTATTGTCTCATATAGTATTGAATATGAGAAATACAAATATTAGCCCACATGGTCAGACTAATGTGACACAAACATCACATATAGTGTAAAAAACCAGTAAATATCGAGGAGCCTGGATTTGTCCGCTCTGAAATAATGTAATGCAATGTAATGTAATATAATTATTATATACAGCTGTTTCGAGAAATGCTGTCTTACTAAAGCGTAAAATCGTACCCGACAATGTCGAGAGGTATTAGTGGTAATAGTGGCTCACCATTTCTTTATTGAAGCGAGGGTGATAACACAGTAACACAGCACGAACACGTATATTTATGCTTTACCCTTGCTTCTAAGGCTCTTGCTAAAACAACGTGAACCTCAACCAAGCAATCATTAACTATTACAAAATATGAAGCTGAAAAGGCCCTTGGAAGTGTCAAATGATAGCGAGTACTAGACGTTTCGAGCTTAGCCCTTCTTTGCTTTAGTGTTTTGACCATCATTGCTCACAATATCAATCGATATTGTGGCTTCCGTTTTCCGATTTAATGAAAACAGCTCTGTATAAGCGCCTTGCGTTGCTATGTCTTCGGCAGCAACTTTCTTGTTGTTTGTCGATTTTTTTTATTTTATTTTAACTGAAGCTTTCTATGCACAATGATTTACAATAGAGTACATAACAATTAAAAACATTGCTTACAGAGCATTACATTACAATACCTACTTGCTGTGCACACGACATGACAAACATCACTTACATTGCGTACATTGCTTTATGTTTCAAAAACGTTTACGTATCTAACTTTATTGTTGAGATTAGTTACAAAACTTAAATTTATTACATGGCTAGCTCCGTGAGCGGGCAAGGCGAATCAAATCCTGCGCTGTGATTGGCTACCCGAGCGGGCAAAATGGAGCTATCTTGCCCGCTCGGGACTACCCGCTGTGACCCGCAAGAAAATTTTCCGTGAAAGCCATATAATAAATCCTTTATTGACCAAGCTTGTTCGGTCAAGATGGTTTGATATTGGCGTCGTTCTTTTTTTTTGCGAGTTTATGGACCTCGATTCCGTCTCGGTCCATAAACAAACTCGCAAAAAAAGAACTTGGCCAATATCAAGCCATCTTGACCTCACGCTTGGTCAATAACCCACACATACATTTAGCTAGCAATAAAAGGTAACAAAAAAAGAAAAGTACAAGGAAGTAAAATGAGAAAAAAAAAACACAATGCAAAAACAAAACAAACAAAGACGGGGCAAAGGCAAGAAGTACTTAGGAGATTTGTTGTTTACTGATGTAATTCTTGACGTTATGAAGATCTCCAAATCAACAAAGTGGACCCAGTGCCCGTTGAGAAACGGAAATTTCAGAGAAAGAACATTTTGGAACAAATAACCAAGTGAGCAGTGGCCTCTTCATGTCTGTTTTGTTTTGTTTGTTTGTTTGTTTTTTCTGGAACTCATTGTAAAGGTTTTTGTGTGGCACTTTCTTGTAGATTCTACGAGGTCAATAACGTGAACCATTTCCAGTTTTCCAGGGGAGTACAGAAAGGAGAGGTTAAGAAGGATAACGAATTTTCGGTGAGCTAGATTATTGTTATTTTTAACTTAGTCGTTGTTGTTGTTGTTACTGTCGATATCGTAGACGTTTGATAGCCAAAATTAAGTGTAATTTGTAAAAAAAATGACTTGAAAGTCTTTTTTTTTTGTAAAATGCAAAATTACCTTTAAATAGGCCATATTCGTATTGTCGGTATTGGACTGGAACAAGCTTGCAATGGAGGCTCATGCAAGGAATGTCATTGAAAAGAATTAATGTCGTTTGCATTTGAAGAGACTTCCGCATAAGCCTCGGTTGCAAGCCAGTTATAGTCCAATACCGAGAATACGAAAATGGTGTATTGAAGGAAACCTAAAAAATAATAGTTGTCTTGAGCAAGGTAATAAAAACACTAAAGAGGTATCAACAAACAGAGAAGAAACAGATGGCCTCACATGTGAAAGCTGAAATGGATTATAATAGGCCATTTCCGAGTTACCTTGTGCCTCTGCTTCAAAACGAGTCTTCGTGCAAAACCTTCCATATGAAAATGAGTTTGATTTGCGTGAAAATGAACCTGTAGGGGAAACATATTTTCATATGAAACGTTTTGCACGAAGACTCGTTCTGACACGGAGCGAAAAGGCAACTCGAAAATGGCCTATTGATTGTCTTTAGAAATTTCAAAACATAGGTCCGCAATAGGTCTGCATATAGTAGCAACATAACACCTCAGTTTCAGTCCTAACAATGAGAAAACAGTGATTAGTATGCTAATTCCCGTTGAGGTGTCAATACAAACTCCACCGTATAAGTGATAAGAATAGAAGAGTTGATCACAGAAGAGGAAAACTACTAAATTCCCCAACTGATGCGATAACGTACGGAGACTGGAAGAAAGAATTTGTATGTTGGCGTTTCATTGCAGACGCTGTGGCTGGAAAGAACAACAATTTACACCAAGTTCACATTTCCAGGCATTTTGTGTTGGTTTGAGGCAACATCCATCGAAACGGTTCGTATAACGGCCTTGCAACATTTTGAGTGCCTATAGCTCAAGTTGTACTCTTGTAACAGTGTATTTAGTTATGATACTGTGTGCTTTTAGATTGTATCATTTTGCTAAACACATTCTTCATTTGGAAAAGGTGGCTTACGAAGTGCATATATTTCAAGTTATCTTTGAATCCCTATTTTGCAAGAGAAGAGATCGCGGCCATGTTGGTGGATTGGCCGCAGATGACGTCTTTGTCATTTGACACCGTGTTGTAGCCCACTGAAGCCAAAAAAAGAGCGATAGCCTGCGACGAGAAAAGTACCCAATTACTTGTGGTACTGTTTGATAAAACAGGGAATGTAACAAGAAAGGTGTTCTTGAAAGAAAAATGTATTTTTATCTGTCAAAAGAAATTAGTAACATTCGTTAAAAAATGTCATGTAGGTGCGCTTGAATGCATCGGCGAATTTCACCGCTAATATGAAATTTTTCCCATTTTTGCCTAGCCTCTAAATACTAACGCTTTCTCACTAGCAGTGCTGATCATCTATTATTCCTTTTTTTTTTTCCATATTCGCGTATTTTCAGGAGGAGTTAAGCCCTGTACAGAATGCCTTAGAGACCATGGAGTCCACCAATAAACAGCTGCGCTCTCTTATTGGTCGGTACAAGGTGGACCCCAACCTGAACATCAACCCCCTGAGTATGAAGCTGGGTGGAATTATTGACGCTGCTGTCATGGGAGGAGTCAGTAATTTTGAAAAGGTCAGCAATACAATTGGGTTGAAACCATGGTTCGCATAGGCCTTGAAAAGTCCTTGAAAATTTGTCATATCCTTAAGAACGCCGTCTTGTAAATGACATAAATAGGTTTCCTATTTAAAGTCCTTGAAATTGTACCAGACTAGAGAAGTGGGGTTAATTGAGAGGGGTCTTACTAAAGCGTGTACGGTGTCCTTTGAAATTGTCTTAGGCCTGTGTGAACCGTGTTAAATGATCCCCCAAAACGCTAGACACCATTTACATTGACATTGTTGTAAAACAACTTATTCTTAATTTAATTGAACATGTGGAACTGGGCCTTTGGCTTCCTTTGATCAAATTTATTGTATTTCTTTTTGCAGGCATTTCTCACTCCTGAATTTGTCAAACAGAATCCTGATTACGAGCCGTATGTGGAGAAACTCAAAGATTTGATCGTTGATCAGGTAAGACATAGACCTTTGTATAAATGGCGTGTAAATGTGAATAACAATACTTATAGATCCTAAGCCTCACATTCATGTGAAAAATCCTTTGTTTCGAAACATAAGTACGAGGCTTAGGATGTACAAAGTATTGTTATTCAAATTTAGGGGCCGTTTATGCAAAGGGTCCAGGAAGGCACAGCGTGACCGCTAACAAACAGGAATGAGTAAAATGGCATCATTATACCACCCAGCCTCATCATAGCAAGGCAATACCGTGAGCTGGCGTGTGTATATGGGCCAGGGCAGGATAGTTTGACGTGAGCTGATCCTGTAAAAGGTGGCTTGTATTGCGCACGTCGATAATTCACTTAGTACACGCAATCTGGGATACTCACTGAGACATTTCACGACTTAACTATAACTTCAGATGAAAAGCGAACTTGTTGAATGAGTTAGAGTTAGACTGGAAGGGAAATTTTTGCTCGTCATTTTGCAAGGACCTTTCAGTAAGACCTGTTGTAGGACTCGTTAACTGAGGAAGTTTGCTCAAAAAGTGATAGAGTTCCATCCGGATTTAGACTGACTCCAAAGTAACTACACAACTATTTACTATCGGAATCACCAGTGCATCACAAAAACAGCAGTCAGTGAAGAAACACCTCGGTGTTGGTCTCGCACGTGATTGGCGGTAAAAATAGTGTCCTTGTCCTCTGATTGGTTAGGGCACAAGGCACGAGTTTTGAACCAACAAGAAAACAAACATAACAAAGGCTAACACAAAGTTACTTTTGCAAGTCGTTACGAAACGTCGCTAACTCGGTGCGTTTACTCACTTGAACAATAGGTGGACATTTTAGAAGAAGGAATGTCTCTACACGGTAATCGTGTCTCCGCTGCTCTGAAACCTTTCCATGAAAATCTGGAGAAGCGCTTTAAGGAAATGAAGATCAAGACTGCTCCCTTTAAGAAGGTAGGTGCCTCGGAGATGTTCTGATTATTATCGTCCAATGGGAAAGTAGTATGACGATCGGTCAAAGGGTATGCTGTGTTGTTTAGCAACAATTCTAACGAAGACAATTACCTTTTTCTTTGATTTGTATTATCACTTTAAAAACTGGTAAATTTCAGAATTGTGTGAGGTTTGTTTTGACAAGCTAATAATGGGCTAATGATGGCCTAAGGCGGTATAAATTTGCTTTACGTGTAAGGTGAAAAGACTCCCATACTGTGAAAAGAAACTTGCAATCAAAAAAGACAGTTGTTGCTTGTTTCAGTTGTTGCTTGTTTGTAGTTTTTGGACTGAAACGGTGTATTGGTATTCCTGAACAGGCTCGTGCCAGTTCTTCGGGTAATCGGACTCCTGACGGGTCTCCCTTCGCCAGCCGTTCCATGACGACGGTTCGAAGATCAGGCCCCGACAGACCTACAACGTTTGCGCGAGACAGCCTGGATCAGATGCACCAGTCCTACAGCGGATGGACCGAGTAAGTATTGGTAGACTGGTTCGAACTTGGCAGCGGCAAGTCGTTACAGATTGGAGCGGTCACACAACGCCAGCGCGGTTGTCACACTGCTTACTTTTGCGTAACGTGACGACGTATAAAGACAAGATCCGAAAGAGCGTTTTGTGTGACGTCGCCACAGCCAAACTAGAGTCCCCACGCAGGCAGTGAAATTTCTAACGTTACGGAACCGAATTAAGATATTTCAGCTTGTTGAGTTTACACGACCTCTAGTTCTGTTAGACGTGGACTGCTTAGACTAAACCTTCTCACTCTCTTGGTGACAATAGGCTGATTTAGCAAGAGAACGAGAACGTCACTTGACGACGGCGCGCGCAGTACAAATACCCAAATATGGTCAAATTAGAACAGAATCCAGGTTATTCCGCGCGTCCTGCAGTTGTCATCTGACGTTCCCGTCCTGTTGCTAAATCAGCCTATTAACTTATACAAATACGTCAGGTGCCTACGTAAAATAGCGGGCGATAATTAATTTGCGTTTAGCGTTTCCACTTGCGTCTGCAGCTCCGTAGACGAAAATTGGCGTCGTCATATTCTTCTAAAGGATTAAGCCTATCCCGCAAGTCTCGGATTCTTCGAACACGTCGAGTATTAGCCCATTGCTGTAGGCTTCTATATCTCAAACTTCCATGTATGACAAAAACCTTCACTAATAAAACGTTAGATTACGTCTAAACCTACTCATGACCGGGTCTAAGTTGCCATTGTTTGCAAGTCTGTGTTTCGACTCCGTTTAGGCGGGGTTTAAGATAAGTGACGTTTAAATAACCCGGTTTCCCAGTTGAGACCCTGTTTAGACCAAGACCTTCTTAAACGACGCCTAAACTTCGTTTAACTGAAATATTCTGTTGGTTTTCAGCTCGGTCTTAAGAGTTTTGTTTTCACTCTCCAAAGCTTTCAATTCCTTCTTCGTGACGCTGATCTGAAACAAGAGCTTTGCATTTTCATCATTTGTAGTTTCTATAATCTCCTGCAAAGCTTTGTTCTTTTGGTCTCCGTCCTCAACCCACTGTTGAAGTTCCTCTTCTATTTCGGAATGTTCCTTTTGAAGCTGTTCAAATTCTTTCCTATGATCCCCTTCGCAACAGGTGGAAACTTCATTGCAACTTTCACTCATGTTCTTTGCGTCAACTTCCTTTTTCTCTTTCTCCAATGCCTTCAAGAGAGGGGTGAATAGGTTTTCGGATCGACGGATTTGGCCTTTTTTAAAAAGAGCACGGATTGCGGCTTTTTGCGGTAAATCGAGCGGATTCGCGGATTTTGAAAACACAGTGGATCGTGGATCAGTTATGAATTTGGGCGCGGATTCCAGATTGTGCCTGTCTTGATGTTCGGATCTTGGGTCCTAAACGAAATTTGGACCATAGATCTTTCTTCAGTCTTGGTTGGTTTGTTTATGAGTTCATCCAAATTATTCTTTTTTCGAACGAAGCTCATTTAAACTCAGGTGTGAGACCGTTATTGGAATTGTACAGTGTTATAGTCGTCAAGCATGTTGCTTCTTTACTATTTGTGCGAAATTATCAATGGCATTCACATTTACCAGTTTACCTTTGGACTTTTACACTTCTGTTTCCGGATGTGGTTGTGGTTTCGGATTTGAACAAAAATATCGGCGGATCGACGGATTTGGCGAAAAAAAGGCACGGATCGGCGGATTTGCATACCCCTACAGTATTCCCCCCCTCCCCCTTCAATTCCCTCATCATGACGGCGATCTGAACCAAGAGCTTCAGATTTTCTTCATAAGATAAGATAAGATAACAGGTTTATTAACGGGTAGAAGTCGCTAATATACAATGTATACTAATTGGGGACACCTAACTACGATTACTTATCTAATAATTAATAAAATATGAAATACATGTACGTATGTAAGTACGTATGTATCTTTTCAATGATCTCTTCCAGCGTTTTGGTCTTTTGGTCTCCGTCCTCAACGCATTGTTGAAGTTCCTCCACTGTATTTCGGAATGTTCATTTTCAAGCTGTTCAATTTCCTTTTTCTGGTCTTCAACACAACTGTTGGAGACTTCATTGCTACTTTGAAGCAAGGTCTTTAGAACGATCATTCCACGCCTGATGAAATGTTCCAACTCCAGAGGGCCCTCCAGAGGTGATCCCGAATACTCCGGAAGAAGCCGAAAAGTACCTTTCCGTTTGACTTCCGACCGAAACTTCCAGAATCTTTGCATAATAGTTTGTTTTCGCTAGCTGATTCCTTCCCAAGTCCGATTAAGTCGTAGCAATTCAAAAACTAAAGGAGACAAAAAATCGAAAGATATCTTATTTCTTTATTTTTCTCGCAACATGAAGCGGGAAAAAGCAGTTTGTCGAGGTGACAACAAACTGAAAAGCTGCTCTAGCATAATTAAAAAACTCACAGAAGCTTGTGACGGTCAAACGCTTCTTAAGGACGGTGCCGACCTTTGACTTTCGAGCAGTTTAGGACATGTCTTTGGCAATCACAGATTTCATCATGTCATCATTCTAAGCAAACCTGACTGCCAAGTCGCTCTTCGCCCGGACTCTTCGCTCGGCATTCATGAATGCCGCAGGGTTCATCGGCAGAAGCCTCAAGTGCTATTCAACAAAGCCCCCACCACAGATATTCAAGAGTACATCTTTGTGCAAGAAAACGTCCAGTTTTGATCACAGTGCTATGTACTTGGTATAATTTCAGGTTGATCCTTCGCTAGCTGCTCTTTCAATTTTCATTTCAAGTGAAAACAGGAGCCATTATGGCTCCTGGTGAAAATGAAAACTTTGGCAAAGGATCAACCTGAAATTATACCAAGTGTGCAGCACTTTTCATTACAGTGCTGCGCACTTGGTATAATTTCAGGCTGATCCTTCGCCAACTGCTCTTTCAATTTTCATTTCAAGTGAAAATGAAAATTTTTATTGGTTTATATAAAATATGTAAACTCAAAAAAATTTTGCACAACGCGAAAAGGCCTAGGTACGAGTTTAGCGTTACAGTGTCACGCACGATAGGTAGGTAGCGGTTTCGCGTGAGAGATGACAAAAGGAGACAAAGGTAAACTACTCGTTCTTTTCATTCCAGTATTTACTCTCTTGCTACTCAACAAGATTGTGTGCTCCCTGTGACTGAATGGTGAAATTGTTTTGCAGTCAGTCCATCTTTGGGGGGAGCGTTGCGTGACATCCCAAAAAACGGCTGCGGAAGAGAATATCAGTCAGTCAGTTAACCCAAAGAATGGTGCAAAGAATGGCTACTGGAAAAAGCATTGCTAGTTGGCGAACCAAGTGCCTGGAGCAGACTATATGCACCTACCGCACAAAAGACGAAATTCCAACAACGATTGATCCAAACCATTTCGGAGACAGGAGGGCCTTGTTGAAGTGATAGGATTGCACATTTTTTGGAACTGATCACCAAATCAATTAATGAATATATATAACGGGCGTTAAAACGCTGGAACAGTCGTGTTTCATGTTCTTGGCGGTTAGAAAATTCGGGACGGTAATCGGCACAAATCCCCGCGGTTGAATACGAATTGCGGACCTACGTTGCAAACCAACGCAGATACGTCATGGCCGACTTGACCTGACCTGTGCTTAATGCAACGTTGGTTATGCAATACTGTGATCCCACGTCTGATGATATCTCAAATTGTCAGCTTTCTCGCCAGTCAAAAAAATCGATTACTTCAAGGATTGACTGTAATAGTTTTCTACCTGATACTTTCATCGGGAACATTGTTCATTTTTGGACCATTAATCTTCTACGTACTTTATCGATGTTGTTCAAGTTGTTTTGTTGCCAGAGTGACGCCGTCGGTTGGGACACCTCAGGCCTCACCTTCCTAGGGGGGTCTGGGGGCATGCCCCACCGGAAAAGTTTGAAAAACTGAAGTAGCTAAGATGTGAATTCCTTCATTCTGAGCAAAGAAGGCCGGCTCTGCACAAAAATTCCTACCGCTGGAAAGTGTTCAAAGCGAGAAGAAAGCAAACAAGGAGTAAATTACATATCCACAAAGATAGTTAATTATTGCTCCCAAATGAAATATTAGGAAAATGTATGGCTTGTAGTCTTTTCTGAAAAGTCTAGAAAATGCTGTTCCACCATCACTGGAAATTTTCAGAAATTCAAATCAGAATTTTTTTTTTAGAAGCCAGAGGCCAATGAGGATGTGCTGCAGTTCTTGGTTTAATAACGAAAAATCAGACAATAGTGATAATAGTAGTGCATTTTATACAGATTTTATATTCACAAATCAGTTAAAAGTTATATCACAAACTTACTTCATATAATGATTTTTATTATCTCAAACATAAATTTAATTTAGGCTGAAATTACACTTATACTGTAGGTAAATTTTTTACATTATACTCTAACCTTCAATAAAATTTTTAAATGTTAGTGCATTAACAGTTTATACATGAGTTGGTTAATTAGTCAATATTTCATTTTGCCCAAAAAATATCTCTTCGGTGAAAAAGTCACTTTGAGTTACGATTCTGGATGGCAGTTTTATAGTTTGGGCCCATTCTTCTCTCTAGAGTTGCCTGTCATACCCAGGTGAGGCCTTGACACGAAGAAAAGCCCCACTGGAGAAGACAGACTGGAAACTCTAGAGATGAGAATGTTTTAGGCCATAATGAATTTCCTTTCACCTTCATGTAAAAATGAGTCCTTGTATGAGACCATTCATATGAAAATGTCCTCAACCTACATGTACATGTTAATTTTTGTGCAAATCAAAATCATTTTCATATGAAAGGTTTTATACAGACTACGTTTAAAACAGAGGCATAAGATAACTCAGAAATGGTGTGTTTAGGAAGACCATTAGAGCTATTCGCCCATTATAAGGGTTGTTTTTGTCCTAGGCCCCTACGTCTTTCTAAGGTGATTTCGTGTAACAATCATTAATCATCCAGACCCCAAACAATCTCCAATGGGGGTGGGTGGGTGGGGGGAATTAGGGTCTACTTTGTCTGATGAACTAACTAACTATTCTTATCACCGTGTAATTTGTACAACTCATATGCAAAAATTCCTATTATGTAACGAGAAAAACCTGCTGTGTGATAAGATTGCTACACTCCTGGAAAATTTGACTTTTAGAAAAACTCTAAAGGCAAGTGGTTGTTACAGTTATGATAGAGAAGTCACAATGCATCTAGGCTTGTTTCAAATTCCCAAGCCATGTAATGCATTATAAACCATTTAAGTGCAGCATTCGCACATTTCTGTGGTTTGCCCAAAACCTGAACAGATGCACAATGTCGATAATTTGTGTTCACAGTTCAGTGCTAGTGATCAGGTCTTTAAGCAGAAGTGAGGCTACTGAAAATTGATTTTGTTGTCATTAGAAACCTTGCTACTTTTCATACGTAAATTACAATTCCCTTATCATGCTAGCTAGTTTCTAATATCTATCAACCAAACCTCAGTTTCATGCACAGGCTTGGTTACATTTTACAGAACTGTAAAATAGCATTTTACCTAAGGATTGGNCCCCACCTTCCTTCCCCGACCTGCTCCAAGTGGCGGCAAAAAGAGAGACGTTAGAAACAGGTTGTGCAGAAGAGACATCTTGTAAAACCTGTTTTGAATTATAAAAACGGCCCGTGATCTTTTTTGTGGGGAAAATAATGTTTTCAAATGTTCACAGATGTGATCATTGTTGCGTTATAGACTGTGCTCACACGTGGTGCCCGAGCAGTGGTGCCTGAGCACCGAAAAAAGATAGTGTTGTGTTCAGACACTGGAAACTCCAAAGACCCAAGTACCATTTAGTGCCCGAGTACAAGGTACCCTGTACCTGGGCACGCGGGCACGGGCACGCGTGCACGGGCACTTTGCCCGAATACTGGTGTGAGTACTTGGAAAAATGATGTGTTTACATTAGTGTCCAGCAAGAGTTGTACGCTGGCACCGTGCTCAGGCACCAATTGTGAAGTGTGTACATAGGCTAAGTAAAACACTATGTACTTAACGCAATATGTACATATTATTTTGATGGGATTTTTCATGATAAACATTTAGTTTTTCGATGCATGTGATGTCCTTTTGATGCAAGTTTTTTATTTGCCAAGAATACCATAACAACATTACATAGAATGATAATATAGGATATAGCGCTCTCTAGTAAAAAAAATATTTAAAAACATAATCTTTCGACAGCCGGTCTACTGTCTTCGATGGATAAAAATTTGTCATAAAAACGGTCTACTGTCTTCCGTCGAAGACAGTAGACCGGCTGTCGAAAGCTTATGTTTTTCAATACTCTTTGCCAGAAAACGCTATATCCTGTATTATCATGATCAATCTTGGTAACGGATCCGCGATATTTTTACATATTGCATAGAATATTTACCTGAAGGTAGCTGTTGCGCCTGAGTGTTGTTAGCTGTCTCAGGACCTTGTGCTTTTCTTCAATGTTCTAGTTCTGTTGTTGCTAAGAATGGTAGAAACAGTCCCCCTCCGCTTCCAGTGAAGTCCATGACCATGTCTGGGCCTGCTACGGGGCGTGGTCGACCCCCGAGGAGGAAAACCACTGAAGTGACAATGTCCCACCTGGAAGAAGAGGTAAACACGTATTTTTTTGTATCTGTGTTTGCGAGGTTTTAAGTCTAGAACATGAAGGTAATTTTTTGAGCCTAGACAAATGAACGTTCTCGAGTAGTAGTAGTTTTGAATGGTACTGTCTACAACGCGGTACAAGTCGGAAATGAATTCCAACTGTTGCGTCTAGGGATGAAACCCAAGTATTTGACCATTCAAATGAAAGTTTTTAAGGGCAATGCTCTTATGTGGTGGTGTTTGTTACGATATAGAAGGTGATTTTGACTTTTTTAAACCTTTGGATGAAACCCTTGGTTGTTACCCCTCAAATGAGAATTACTGCGCGGTATTATCATGACGTAGCAGTCGAAGACAAACTACTGTAAAATGCCGACTTCGTAAGGGGTTTGAATGAGCCTATCAACGGACGGGCTTATATCCGGGGCCTTATAAGCGGAACCAAGAAAACCGTTTCGAAATGAGCTGCAGTGTTGAGCGAAAGCGTTTTTCACATAGTGGATTTTATTAAAGCTTTAAAACATCATAATACACTGGACAACGTTTTACAAAAAAAAAAACTAAAACTAGTAGAGCGACACAAAAATATTCCGTACGTATTAAGTTATTTTCATATGGATCACGCAAGGAAGACTTGTTAACTGAATCACAAAAGTACGGAAAATCATGTCGCTTTGATGTTAGAAGGGCAACGCTAGAGTATTTGATGCCGAGGTTCCTAGTAACCATTTCTTGTTCGCCAGTTTCCAAGTTCAGTGAGTCCTTCTTCCGAAATCGCCCCTGCTAAGCCGCCCAGACCAGCACCATCAGCACTCCACTCCCAACCACAGGCGAACCAGCCTCCAGAACTGCCACAAAAGAGTATGAAGAAAAAGTCAGGTGACGCAAATCAGCGCTCCAGTACTGAGTCTAGTGGATCAGACGGTACTGAGCAAGTGGAGCAGGTAATGACCCGAGAGCTGTCTATGAAAAGATGCAGTCAATACTCAAACAGCTCCCCCCCTCCTCCCACCCTCACTGTCACTGTCACTGTCACTCTCTCTACAAGAGCAAAATAAGCTATTTCCGAGTTGCCTTTTGCCTCTGTTTCAAAACGAGTCTTTGTGCGAAACCATTCATATAAAAATGTGTTCCGCCTACAGGTTCACTTTCATGCAAATCAAACTCATTTTCATATGAACGGTTTTGCACGAGGACTCGTTTTAAAAGAGGCACGAGGTAACTCGGAAATGGGATATTTAGCAGCTTGATTCAAGCCTCTCCGTGTTGTTTTTAAAGCAAACACACTATAGATGTCTCATCTCACATTTTTGCGCCTGTAAATTTTGTTAATGATGTTTGTAGATTGTTGATGTCTTGCTTAGCCTTTAGTCCAAAACTAGACGGGTTCTCCTTATGTTCCTCGTGACCACTGCCCCAACTAGCTAAACATTACCCAGAGGGTTAAAATAGTAATCGAATTCTGTGTGATGTAATATAACAAACACGAGAGACAGCGTTTCAACGGGATATCTAAACACCGAGGAGGGCGTTGAAAATACGACGAGTATTTTTGAAGAAATTTGTCTTATCTTCTCAATCGAAACAACAACTAAGGAGTAAACGGAGAACTAAATTGTCAAAATTTATGCTAATTAAGACCGGGTATCCAAACCTCTTTCTCGGTTGTGATTTTCTTTGTTTTAACTCGGTGAGTTATTAATGAGTTTGAGAAGCTGTTTTCCTCATTCCCCGTCCGTTTTTGAAGTGTTGAAATCGGAATGCTTTTATGTAACGTTTCAGTGTTTTTTGCATCCCGGTGACGTTGAGATTGAAATCGGCATTTTTTTTTTAACTGTAGTTCAGTTGCATGCATATTTTCACTATCTGAGTGTTGAAATCCTCATGAGTCAGATCTTATGGTTATGACGATGTTTGCATATCGATGTCATCTGTTTGTCAATTCGTGAAGTCAGCATTGCTTTTTTGTTTTTTTCAATCTCGAGCTCTCAAAACTGGCAACGTTCCCACTTTGAAGAGACATGTTTTTCGTCGCTGGATTTGAAAGAGGGTCTGAATTTTGTTAACTTGCATTAACTGTAAAATGTTTAGTTTTAAAACGAAGCATAAAAGTTCGCTGATTGATTTGTAGTTATTTTGTCTTATTCGGCATACACAGACGTCCATCCTAGAGGTGCTATAAGGCCTAACAAGTGTATTTAGCCCTCTACGCAGACATTGTACAGCGGCCATTTCGCGTGCAAACGCCACGTTAAGTAAGGTTGTCATACAAGAGTCTCCAGTGACCTTTGTTGATCCATTTTTCCTTTTTCAGTCTCCAGCCCTTCCACCGCGTGCGTCCATGATGGTAAAACAGTCGCCTTTACTTCCTCCTAAGAATCGATGAACATAAAGGCACAGTAAACGAAACGTCTGCCAACGGATGGTGATATGAACTTGTTTTTAACTTCCTCGGCTTCTTAACTGCATCTCTGGTTTACCTTTTATTATCCAATATGGGTATTGGTGTGGCTATGGTCATCACAGTTTGCATATTGTATTAATAATATTAGTGTTTTTTAATTGTTAACGTAGCTCTTTATATATACAATGTCAATTGTTATGTTAAATCCTAAACGAGTGAATTCCATTTGAATATGATAATTTTAAGTGATATATACCGAATAATGTTGGAATTAATTTTAAAGATTTTTATTGGTGTCACAAACAGATGCAAATGGTGATTCATAAGCATTTTATTATTCCAGGCATTTATTTTTAATAACAATCAAATTTCTATTTTAAAAGTGGATTACTTTAGGGCATGGGCCAGTGTCCGCTTAATACAGGTCAATAGAAAATCAACCTTAAGCATAGAAAATTATAGTGAGTTGTACTGTAAATGAAGACCTATGTTTTGTGTTCAAAAGTAATGCTTTTGCGTTCAGTCTATAACCGGTAAAAAAAAAAACACACTTGTGTCAAATACCTTGGCATTTTTGTCTCGTGTGACCTGGATATTGCCCGCGCAAGAGTACAAATTTCATATGAAGAAAACGTACTTTGGTGGGCAATGCATGCAAGATGAATTAAGCCTTAAGTAGCAATGCGTTAGATGTGTTGCAAAATCGATCGATATTTTTTTTAATCTCATCATAAAATCCTTTTTAATAAATCGGCAGGAAGACAGAGTTTTATTTTCTCCGGTCATGTATAGTCATTTCAATAGTAGTAGTATTTCTCAAAAGGAAAATATAATGAAAGTATTTTTGCACTGTGATTCTGCGATCAGTTCAAATAGTATTTAGCTGTTAATCGTTGAGCACATCATCATCATCATTATCATCGTCATCATCATCGTCATCATCATCATCATCATCATTACTTTACGCCCCCGGGGGGAACATAGAGCATCAAGCAATACCCTTCACCGCACACGGTTCTTTGCTCTCCGCCTCACATGGTTCTTTGCTGATGCTTTTGCACCCCTCCCCGGTGTAGCCCACTCGTTGCAACTGCCGTAGCATGAAGGGCTTTCACTTATTCCCGGGCCGTCCAACTTTCCTCTTCTCCTCGGTTCGCTATCGTGCTGGGTGAGAGTGCTTGGCTGGAATAGAGTCCTTACATTCCAACTTGGACTTCAGTTGTAGCAATGTGTTTGGCGATTGGGTACCCAGTTGGTTCATTCTTGTTCTGGAGGGACGGCTTGCCCCACTGTTTCACATCTACTGTGATGGTTTCGGTTCCTAAGGCGTACTGTTTTTTTAAGGAGTATGCTTGTTAGCTTACTCTCAACGCTTAATTAACCCCCAGCTCGAAGGACTAAGGCGTCTCTCTTCGTCTGACCTCATACCCTCGACCTGTCCGGTTTGGGTGACCCTGCCAGAAGTTCAGAAACTCTCACCGGCATAGCTCTAGGGGGCATAGGGACGCGCAAGCCACCCCATAAATATAAGGAAGCGATCCCGTCGAGGTGAGATCGCAGGGCACATACTAATATCCCAACTGCACTTACCGAGATCTTGATCATATTTGGTACGGCAGAAACCGAATCCAATATTCACTGTTGCAAAGAAGATGTGAACATAACGTGCATTTAGTTGTGTGAGAAATCCATTTAGTCTGAGCTCTAAATGGAATCCTCATCCAGAATGGGTGTTTTACGTCTTAAGGTTACTTTGGCTGTAGACGCCCTTACGACACTCACGAACATACGATTACCGTCCGATCTTGTGATCAACACCACGATCAAACAGCGCACTCGAAAGAAGTGAGGGGATATCATTTATTAGATTTTTTTTTCTGTGCAACGCGCGTTGTAACGTTATCTATAGAAGAACTAGATACTATGTCTATAAATAACTTGACGGGGATTAGCCTGGGATTAATGCCTTGTCTATCCTACACTTCATCTTCGCTTGAGGGTACACGTTTTAGCAACTTCCTGTGTAAGTTTCTTGTGTGTGTTTTGGCGAATCAAGATGCCATACTGAAAATTAACTGGGTTTCTGCAAACATGTCTACCGTTTGAGTATTCAAAATTGTGTGTATTTAGTTCAGTGAAGCTGCAACTTTAGTATGTAGCTGATTGAAGAAAACGCTGATGGATGAAAACTTCCCAAAGGCGAGGAGTGCTATTTCGCCTACCCTAAAATAGCCCTAGAATGTATAAATATATTTTAATTAATTGCTTAAAAGCCCGAGAAGATGATACTCAGTGGGGTAAGAGATTCGCCACAAGGGAACCGAGCGTGCCGGCCCTAGCTAGGGACAAAAATATTCCGCTAAAATAACCCTCCCTGCCTAGTTCCTAGGCCTCGATATTTCGCCGCGGTCAATCCCTATTTAACAATTATTCCATGAGCGCGCGTTGGATATGAGATGGTAAATAGCCAACGAGGCCCGTAGGGCCGAGTTGGCTATAACCAATCTCATATCCAACAAGCGCGAATGGAGTAATTGTTTTATTAAATTCGGTGCATTTGTATTCTTGGAAATATAGCTTAATTTTATTGGATTTTAATTTTACAAAACGACCGGAAGTCGATGTGA